TAATCTTTAATACTTTCAATTTCTATAAAATATGTAAGTACAAATTCAGGAGTGCATATTGAAATCTTTTATAGCAATCATCCCATCCCATGCAACAAATATTTCATTGCAAAAACAGAATAAAAAAAAGTGATAGGAACTTGTAGCCTGAACATAATTGGATGAAATCCATGGTCTCTTGTTCGAAATTGTCATTTGAAATAGTGTACATTTCCAGGAGCAAGCACGTATCGAAAAGGAGGCGTGTACCAGCGAAGAAAGAGCACGCGTGGTTCCCTTTACGCAGGTGGAGACACGCAATGCACCTTCCGACATCTCGATCACCGGTTGCATCAAGTTTGCATTCGACACGGCGTGGTTCCCGAGTCATTCGCGATTGAATTTTTCATCGTCACACATGGGAATCGGCTAGTCTATATTTTTACCGTCCGCCGCTTTCCTTTCCTTCCCATCGACGGCTCGTCAATCATTCATGAAATTTTTACAGTGATCAACGTCGCACCCTCGAACGCGCAGAAGCGCACGCTTCTCGTTTCCGATTAACAACACGCGATTCGCGTTTCTATTACTCCGAATGTGTAACCCTCGAGCGAGGGGATGAAATATAATTTGCTTTCCTTCTTGGATTTTAATTTACATTATTTACTGGGTTTTAGTTTGTCATAGAATTTTTTAATGTACATGGACATCAAATGCAGTGTATGTCTTAATTTTTTTACTCATTGGCTTGTGATATAAAAAAGCCAGTGAACAGAAATTCTTACGCAAACAGAAATTGATTCATTTACTATTCTTCATTATTGAAATTGTGAAATATGTTTTTCGTGTAAACCAATGTTTGCCAGTAGAATGGTTGATATTCTTAAAACATGATGTTCGATATTATTTATGATAACGTGAGAATGAAATTTTTTTTCGTTTTAGATTCTTTCATCGTTGCAAACCTATGGCCAGGTGAGTCCGACGATGCGACATTCGTGACGGTTGAAATTGAGGGAAAAGTTTGTCGCGAGAGGGTCGAAAGGGTGAAAAGGGACGAGCAATCGTGCGGGCAGCGCATCGTCGCCAAACGAAAAGTTCAACGTGCATTACTTCAAGTCTCGCAAGTTCTCTCTAATGACTAGATAACTTTTACCGCACGCTATCATTACTTCGATGTAGGGAATTTACCCCTTTCTCTTTACTCTGCTTCTTTTCTGTCTCTATTTAAAATATAAATAACTTACTTTGAAAGAACAATTATAACGTAAGGAACAACACGCTTCATTCTTTAAACATGTTTTTATACTGACTCGTTTTTTGTAGCGAAAGGAAGTAAAACTACCACTGAGGATAATCTCCTTTTATGAGAAGCCATGAATATCTGAAGAATTTCTAGGATTAAGTGTTTTTATGATACTATTTATGAGGGTGAAATATCTTTCTAATATTCAGATTTTACTAATACACAGATTTTGTAGTAAAACCACATACGGGGATTGAGGAAATCTAAGATTCTAATAACTCTTATTGAAAATATTTCCATGATGCGTTAAGTACGTGATATTTTTCAAGAACTATGTACATTTACTGTATTCGAGAAAGACGATGTTTCATAGCTTAATATCTCGTGTGACATTATCATTTATATGAACGTGTCAACGTCTATCAGGTGTTACGTGTGTCGTTAGTGGAGCATGGGAATTTTACGGCATGTGTCGGATACCGGACGTCTCCTACCCACGCTTATCTACATACATGCGTGTACACACGTAACGCACGCGCGATCATTCGTCATCTGTTTGCGGGCGACAGGGGTTGCGATTCACCCCCGACAAAAGATACGCGTGATTCGTCTCTATCCACTTCTCCATCTCGTCATCCGTTTTGTAATTGCGATTAAATTAATAAAAAAATAATCCGATAATCGTTGATTATTAATTGTATAGAATTATAATTTATAATCATGACTTATCGTGTATTATTGCTTAATTAATAACAATGTTTTCCCGAATGTCGGATTCTAATTTTCTTGTCTCGAACCGATAATTTACTCCGAGCGTAATATAACAAAACTCCATTTTCTCATACTAACAGAAGTAAATATAATTGGAATACGCGTAGTAAAGGCAACGATGCGAGTGTATATGCTCTAAGATGCGAGTAGACAGCCCAGGTGAACGTTGGAAACAGTTTCGAAAATGAGTTAAGTAGTGGCGCATTGATTCCTCGACAAATGACGGCTGAACTCAACCAGCCACCCGCGACAACCTGTTAGTTCGCCACGGAGATTCGCCGTGTCGACCATCTGCCGTAACTTTCTCATGGATGAATGCCACCGAGGGCGAATCATTTAAATGTACGATTCCGTTTAAATGTCCGCATATGCTATTTGTTTCACACGAGATTAGCCGCGCTATAATGACCACCCTTTCTCGTTACAGGATAATCACCCCCTCGCTCTTGATATACACGTGTAAATCAGAAGTATGAAATTTTCTAATTCGAGAATGTATGCTAGAGTATCATTTTGTTGAAAATGAAGAATAAAAAGAAAAGGAGAAATGGAATTATCGATAAGAATTTCATGATAAATATCAAAATGAAGATTTTTACGAATATGTAAAGGGGTAATCTTTAACATATGAGGTTTGTTGAATTATGAATTATTACGTTTGGTACAAAAAGTATTGTCATTTCAGCTTGATACCTGCGACCTTGAAGACCTAGCGATAGAAAATGAAAAATAGTCGTCAAAGACTTTCAAGAATATTCCTTCTCGTTACCGCTAGCTGTGTACGGCGTGACAATAGGTCTCAGGTAGGTGTTTACGACTTTGGTTAAAGAGCTAAAGAGGGATTTTTGTTTTGTTCTCATGAATACCCCTATATCTGACGGCAGCATACATCCTTTAATATACATATAACTTCTTTTCCCATCTACTGTCAATACGTACTATATTATTTATGCGAGCTTAAGTCCATAAAAGTTGAAAACAAGTCGAAATTATCATGAACAATATAATACTTTCACATTTTCATATTCTTGTTTTATATAAATTTTGAATGGTAACACATTTTTGTGCGATAAATTCAATACGTATTAATTCGATAATTCAATGTTTGAGAATTTTCAATTCAGTTGTCTTCAAGCAGCAGCGTCTGACTGGTAGCAAGCGTTGATTTATAGTACGTTCAACACTGTATTTAGAATAATGTCACAATAAAGAAACGAAAATCAGTAAAGAATGTACTTTATTTCTATTTTACATAAACATGTATCCTTTTCCCATCATATTGTTTTGAAATTGAAAAAGTCAGCATCATTTTATCTTCGGAACCAACTGCAACCACTTCGAGACTTAAAACTGAAGTGAAACCTCTTCATCAATATAACACTAAGAACTTACTGGACGAGGCGGGTATTTTCGGCTGTGACCCGGGAATATGTCCTATTTGCGGTTCTTGACTCTGCATGTCCACCGGTTAAATATTTCTTGCAAGATCACAAACACTGTAAACGGCGATGTAATCCTAATCAGCAACGGCGAATACGAGATCACATGCGTGCGGACAGTTCACGACTGAGAACCGGCATGCAACCGGCTGCGTGCCCGGAGGAGCCGAAAACGGGGAACCGGCCCGTTGTTTCCTCGATTTGGTTAAACACCCAAACCGATGAAACGTTACTGACAGTCACCGTCACCAGGACTTCTTAATAGTAAACCCCGACTGCTGACCGTTTTTCATACGGACGACGATCGGGACGCTTCATTGGATGGTGGATTCCCTCCCCTAGTGAAAGGGCGGTCCTTTCGAAAGGAGCCCGGTTCCACCCTGGGGGTTGAACGTCAGCCAGCAACCACGAGGGCAGAGGTGGCGTACGAACGGGGACGTCAGATGTCTCCCACCTATGCTCTCCTTCTCTCTTTCTCACCCCTTTTGTCCGACGCTACTCATCCGGTAGCGAGGTGAAAACGAAGCCACTTCTCTTCATCCCTTGCTGGACTTTGTGTCGATCGTCATTCCTACTACATTGGAGACGAGCTAATTTTGTGCTCGAGCTGTACATCATTAATTTCTGCAGTTCTTATTAGTTTTATTAATGAAATCTAAATTAATAATGATACTCTTATATAGTTCTTAACTCTCCATTACTGAATAGAATTTCAGTGTTGTAATATATTTCAAGATAAACCGGAAGGAAATAAAAAAATATCATATAAACACTTACAATTATAAAACAGGCATATAGATATAATCATAGGAAACTAAAAATTACGTATATCCACCGGGAACGTAATATAATATACAATGAACAGCCAGCTGCATCGCTTCCTGACTCCCTGACTCGATCTTGAATTATTATCTCCACTCTACGTACGTACCACCTTTTAGCTTAGGGTGCGTCCTGCATCTGTGCACTCGTCATACCAGGACACGAATTACGCGAAGAATCTATCATAACCGATGTAATATCACATCTGAGATTGGATCTCATAACCTGAATCAACCCTATACATTGCACGCCAGTTTCGAGTGCCGCGATAATATCGGGTTACGGGGTGGGTTTCTCCTTCCTCTGGCTCAGGTATGTGATATGATAAAACCCATGGGGTAGCATCAATTTAAAGATATAATTAATATGTTAGACGAGGGGTCAATGAGTGTACTTGATGAATCAAAATTCTATATCAAACTTCCTTATTTGCATTCGTCACGTTTGAAATATTTCAACTTGAAGATAGACCAGAGAAAATACAGACGTTCCTTTACACCCTCGACTAACTTTTAAATTTCGGCGAATGCCCAACGAACCGTGGCACAAATTTTTGGCTTCGACGCAATATGTCGAGAGGCAGAAGATCATCCGAGATCCCACAATGAGCTATTCTATACGAACCGTTGCAGTGGTGCGCGAAATGAGGAAAAGGAGCCACGTATAAAAGATTCGAGTCGCTTTGTCAAGAAGGCAAATGCAGCTAAACGGCCCGTAATAGGACCGGAATCGAAATACAATTGTCTACCGTCTTGTCGAGATGGAATGTTCACAAAAAGAAACGAAACCGATGATTATTTTTCTTTGTTGGAAGAAACCACGGAACGATCGTAAAAATGGAATACGATGGTCTTGTTTCTTTTTTTTCTTAATTCTCACAATTTCTTTCAATCTCAATTATCACAATTTCTACTCAATGTCTCTTTTTTCTATAATTTATTTCTATAATTAAGCGAGTGAGCAGAGATTGTAACGTGAACAGAAATCAGGGTACATAATGAATAAAACATTGTAAAATATGAAATAAATCATTTTAATCTTCTTTAAACTATTCAATTTTATCAAAATATGTATAACTGTCTGTCGCATAGAACTTGTACAGAAACTCTTACAGGAAACTTGCGAGTACTTGTGTTCAGTGAATCGTAGCAGGGGGTTGGTACCGTTTCGAGGGACGAGTTGGTTGTTACTTGCACTGAACATGTATACATATTATCGATTTCGTGCAATATGAAAAGATGAGATATACTTATTCGTTCATATCATACCTAATTTTTGTTAATCGAAATGAATAGCTTTAAATATCCAGAGAATTCATTGTAAAGAATATTAATACAAACTGGACAGTTTAAAAATAATAATATCTGTTTTATGAAAGTTCTTTTGTACATTGTCCTGTTTAGCCTTGAGGAGCCAGATAAATGTCAGGGAATACGGTGCAGATAATAGGGTCAGTTCGCAAAGTAGTACAAAGCTAGTTTAGTACGATCTTCTGGGCTAATCGTGGCAGCAATATCGTGGTTAATTCGTGCAACCATCGATGCGTGGACAAAGAGTTATATAAGTAGATAACGGTACAACGGGTGGTCCAGTTCGGACGTCGAAAAAGGATCGAAGATCCAGGAACAAACGGTCGGAAAACAGTAGCTAGGAAAAGGACAGGGAAGGAAACACGGCAAAGAGGTCCCCCCACCCCAGGGTGCCGTCTCGCGCTTAGGAGTTTAAGTCCAGAAAACTGGCCAGGTAGAGGAGCTCCTTGTCCTTCGCAGCCGTCTTATGTCGCCGCTATCTTCCCCAATCTTCGAACGGTGCTAATCCGTCGACGGTAGCTATTCACTGTTTACGCCTTGTTTTACTGGTATTGCATTTAACGAGGTTCAACAGGCTTGTCCCTTTTCCCGCAAACCATAGAAATTCTTTCCCTTTTTGGTAAACCGCACTACTGTACTAGAAAACCGTCCTTGTAAAACAAAGGGAGAATTAACGTATTTTGTTTTAAGAAGATGATAATAAAATCATTTAATGTTTGGATACTTAAATATTGGATATTTGGAAAAGCATTGAGAGATTTTTGTCCCTTTTTTATTAAACATTTCTTTTAATCAAAATGAATTTTATTTAAGTATATATCGGTCATTATTTTCTAAGACCTTTTGCCATTTTTATAGTAGAGTCATAATTTCAGCTGAATCAGTAATTGGTTTAAGAACGAGGTGTATTTTTAACATCGTAATTTTCAGAACGGAAGCGAGCAAATCATTTACATGCTGTTGCATTTTTGATAAAGCAAATTGCAAAACATAGCGAATTTTTTCAGAAATTTCACTCATTTTCACATCAATATTACTTTTGACACGATTCACGAAATACAAAACTGTCTTCAAAAAAATTGTAGACTGAAATGTCACCTCTATCTAATAGTCAATCTAATTTGTATTGCCCGATATATGACACCAAACAACATTTAGTGACAAAAATTTCTCAATATTTTTCCGACTATCCAATATAAGTTTATTAGGTACTTGAAACCATGAGTGACATTTCAGATTTAAATTAAATGGTCAAATCTATTATCTAGTAAATTGTTAGATCAATGATAACGTTAATGGAATCAAGCTACTGGAATGTGGAGAACCCTCTGGACCCTAATAAGTCGTCTTCCAGACGAAGGAAGAAGGATCTTGCAAAATTAGGTTGACATTTTCCTGGTCGAAGCGCCTTCGCGTCGGGATCATTGGAGCAAGCGGTAATCCCATAGCGATCATACGGTCGACTAACCAGCGACTATAGAGCGTCGGTGGAGTCCGTCAAAATTGTACGATTTCAGAATTGAGAATAAGACAGGAGAGAGCGAGCTTAAGGGCAGAGAGCTGCGCACACCGCGTTAATGGAGGATAAGCTCGTGCTTCTGGACTGACTCTGTTTCTTTTCCCCGGTTATCCCTAGACCGTGCTGCCTTTTACAGAGTACACCTGCCGTCTGTCCTTTTAAATCTTTCGCAACCTTCCTCGACAATAAGCTTTCATTATTTTCAATAAGAAAGTAATAAATTCTATTCTAGTGCATTTACCTAACGAAAATATTGATAAATATAACAAATTTTTAAAATGTATAAAGTATAGTTTCTTATAATAAAATTTAATAGACCACTTAATTCAATTCACACTGATCAGTTGATGAATAGCAATTTTTATATTTTTTTTTCTAAATACTCAGCACTTCTCTTCAGATATTACTGATACAGTTTCAAGTTTTCCGCACAATTTACCTCCGACCCTTATAAGCGCTTTCAAAAGTCTGAGGCGAGTTCGAATTTCGCGGTGATGATAGAAACCGCTTTCCCATGTCAAATCGCGTTTAGTATGAGATCGTTCTCATGAGGCAATAACTTCGCATATGGTGGATTTTCAGTCACTCTCTACCTCCACCCTCGTTACAGTAGGTAAAACGCGAGGGCATCGATGCTGTTCCGTTCGCGTATCGATCCGGCCATATGCTTCGCGTTTCCCACAATGTCGAAAACACGTGGCGCGATGTTTAGAGCAGCGAAGCAACAGGTCGCTGCTGCCAGGTCATTGTTTTAATCGCGGTTACAAGATAACGAGATCTCGTGCGTCACGCGAAGTGATCTATCACGTGTTAAAATGCGTGCATTCTTGTTAATAGGAAGACTGATAGCTAAGAACGGTGATATTTCATATGTATTTCATAAACGTACATAAAGATCAATTTTTTCAATGATTAAATAATTTGAAAATGATGCACTTATTTATACAGTGAGATAAATTAAATAAAAATAATTGACCTTCCAAGTGGTTATGAGGTTTAGTAATACATAAATAATAATAATAATAATATATAACATAAATAATAATAAATAACATAGTAATAATAAAAAATATATATAAGTATATTTCTCAACCGTGAGAATACGTTTCATTGATTTGTCGCCCCCTTATAACGACTATTACCACTGTTTCTCTTCTAGCTCCTGACAAAGAATTGAAGATTCACGTTTCGTCTGGCAAACGTTCGTTAGTTGGCCGGAAGTTCACTGTTATGAAAATCAGCGAGCGGTCGGTTGGGATTTCTGGAACGAATAACGTAACGAACGTCGCTTCGGTTGGAGATTCGCTTTCGATGGAAAGTAGGCGTGCACCGGAGTGACAAGTAGCTGCACCGGCTAGCAGATCAGAAA